CTTCAAACTACTGACCTTGAGGTTACAGCCCAAAACATAACCACCACACCACCAGGGATCCTTCATGATCATCGATGTGTTGGGATTGTTGATCTATAGATCTTAGGAGGGGTCAGTGACACACACAGAGTGTCACAGGCATTAAAATCAATAACTGGTATGTACCTATCTTGTCCTCATTGTTTAAACTATATGTTATAATTTTGTTATAATTTGTCAAAAATACTGAGCATTTGACACTCCAGAACCCCCTTCTCCCACCAGGGTTGAGGCTGTCACTGTAACCCACCTGGAATATTCAGAGTAGTCATAATATCTAATGCATAATAATTTTTGGACAGTCCCCACAGTTAGAGAGAAGTTCTAGAAAATTTCACCAGTTTTTGGTAATGATCCATCCTGATTCAAATTTTTGTGAATGTGTGTAAGGAAAGGGTATATTTCTTTAAATAATAAGTTTCCAAGTCTATATACCAAAATATTAAGATGGGAGATGGGTGCTTTCATTAATGTATGATTGCCTTCCTGCATTTTCCAAATCTTCTACAACGGGGATCTGTCACTGTACGTAATGGGGTGGGGGTGGGGGAAGAAGCATGCTAAATATAAAAAAGAAAATGCAAGCAAGAGGCATGAGTCAACAGCTAACCCTAATGCCCTCAGCCTTGTATCAAGCACAGAGCAAGTGCTGAAAACCCATAGTTGAGGATGGTGCACCCTCCGGCGTGGTCTGCTGACTCAGACTGACTGTGGGTATCAGCTGCTCTAGTGTAATAGAGCCACCAGGTGGGAAGCATGGCCATCCTCACCTTCGCCACAGAACCCGGGTCCGACGGCCACCAAGGGGCGGCATAGGGTGAGCCCTCCCAGCAGGGGAGTGGGCAGCCCACGAAGTCCAACACTGCCTAGCTCCCCACCCTGACAATAGGCATCAAACACTGATGTCTGCCTGCACTGTTTCTCGAGATGAAGGAGAGTCATCCAATTAAATACTGTATTTATAGTCCATCTTGCCCCCAAATGATCTCGTTGTGCCTCCTTCCTGGGGCATGGTTCCTTACGAATAAGTGCCCAGCTCCATTAAGTGGTTTATATTATCTCAAGAATCTTATTAAATTCAACAGGTAGCTGTGAGCACTTAGTCCATCTGAGTGAGACATGGTTGGGGACTCCGACCCAAGAAGATGCCATCCCTCCCCTCAGCAGGGCTCACAGTCTGGTCGCATGAATACACTCATTATTAGAAAAGAACAAGTGACAAGAGTAGAAGTCACCCCAAAGGTCATCACTACCCTCCCTGGGTGAAGAGGAATGTTCAGATCGCGTGACCGGGAATAGGCTTCAGGTCCTCTAGAGTAAGGTCACAGGATGGGCAACGGTGGCCCCCAGGGCTCAGCAGAGACCTGCCTCTGCCTTTGAATCAATTCAGAAATACTAACTGGGTCAGAAATCTTTCACCAATTCAGCTCACTCCCAGGGCATCCAAGTGCCTGTTCCCCACAGTGCATAGTTTTGGCCAATACAGAGTTCCGGTATCTGGGACTGCTCCTACTCTGTAACAGATGCATTACAAGTAAACTCCTGTTAATGGATCAAAACAAAACCATAAAAGTACACTCTTCAGTATGTCCTTAATGTCGCTCCATCTTAAGAACTACCGCTGCGTGGATTCCATGGACTGCTGTGCAGGTCACTAACCACCTTTTAATAACATTGATGTTGCTGCCAGTTTGTCTACCATGTCATGCCATGCTCCAAAGGCCATTCCTCAATTATCTCCTAAGGGTAAATTCCTACAAGGAAAACCCTGGCTCAAAGGCAATGCATATTTTAAGTTTTCTTACTTAGTACTCAATTACCTTCAGAAATCTTTCACCAATTCAGCTCACTCCCAGGGCATCCAAGTGCCTGTTCCCCACACCCTCATCCGTGCATAGACTTACAACTTTTAGTAATCTGTAGTGATTATTCACCTTAGCAGATAATACAGACAGAGCATGCAAGTAGTTTTGCTTCCATGTTCATTTTTCTTGCATGTACACTGGAGCATGTCCCCACAGGTTTGTTATCCATCTATAAAATAGTGGAGAAAGCATACCATGTTGGTGTTATTATAAATGTATATGCAAGGGCTCAAGTAGAAAACAAATGTTTTGAGAATGATGAGGGCAATAAACGTACAAATGTGCTTGGCACAATGGCTGGGTGTATGTATTGTGATAAGAGTTGTACGAGCCCCCAATAAAATGGTTTTTTTTAAAGTGGATATGCATATGGAGTAATGGTGGCGCATTGATTAAGTGCATGGCTGCTCACCAAAAGAGGTCAGTAGTTCAAACCTACCAGGAGAACAAACATAACCCCACTGGTCTGCTTCTGTTTAGAGTTTCCTAGGAATTGACGGGGAGCAGTTCGGCTCTTGTCACGCGAGGTGTCTGAGTCAAAATCCACTCGATGGCACAGTCCTAGCACACAGACTCACCCTGTCTCTCTCTGTGTGTGCGTGTTCCTACAGAGGTGTGGGAAGGGCACGCTCCAGCTCCTAGCCTATGCCTCCATCTGGGTGAGGAACTTGGGGGCGGTTTTCCCCTTGCTCGTTTTTCAGTCCAGCTCTGCTCTTGGAAAGAACATAGATTGTTTGTCTACTGTTAAAAAAAAAAAGGTTATTTTCACTTAAAAACAAAACCCCATTTAAGCTCCAGGGTCTAGTTTATGCTTCGGAGACATTCTGCACACAAGGTCAAAGCTAGAGACCAACAGCAAACATCATTCGAATGCCTGACTGGTCTTTCATTTGCTTTCCGCGTCCAGCCACGAGACACCACTACGGCATCACAGTCTGGTTTGAATGCTTTTGAAAGTTCTTTCATGGCCACTCTTATGTTTAGGGTCTCTACTGAGGCCAAAGTCCTGCCCTTGGCCTCAGGGTGCTTATGGTTGAGCAGGAGCTTCCCTGGGAGACCGGAGTCCTGGGATGGCCAATGGAAAGGGAGCTGACACTCAAAGCAAGTGCACCTCGAAGGTCCGTTGTGTGCCGGGCACTGTCCGAAGTCCCCATCACCCCTCTCTCTGTTAGTATCCCGGTTTTCCCGAAGAGCCAAGGTCACGTGGTTAGTAAACCAAGGAGCCCCTTTTAAGCCCACTTCTGAACGGCTGCCCTCCCTTTTGTCCTCTCTTGTTTAGGAGACCCCAGAGGAAGAATGCTTGTTCCTGGAAACGCTGGAGGAAAACCACTACACCACCTTCAAATCTAAGAAGCACGTAGAGAAGAATTGGTTCGTTGGTCTCCGGAAGAATGGAAGGGTCAAGATCGGGCCTCGGACTCACCAAGGCCAGAAAGCAATCTTGTTCCTGCCCCTCCCGGTGTCCTCTGATTAAAGAAACCCACTCAGGGTGCTCACCACTCCAGAGGAGTCTCACGAGGCCCTCCTCCTGTGAACCCCAGAATGCCCCTTGTCCATTGGCTGTACTAACCCTTGGCCCACAGAGCCTGAATATGTAAGAATGTGCTTCTATGTGCCCCCATCACATTTTGCAGCACTCTTTATCCCAGCCATGTTTGGAACACAGGGGACCAAATTGCTTCTAAGGGGCCAATTGGCTGGCCAGGCTGGGTCTGAGTCTGGATTTGCAGGCCCGGTTCCTTCTGGGCAGGCGACAGGCCTAGCCTCTCAATGCAAAGGAGCTGCCAAATGCGTCATTCGTCACATGCACTGTTTCCCTCTACCAAATGAACCTGGTCTACCATGCCTCAAACATCGGGCCTGACGCCCTTTCACCCTTTCCATACAGCAGACATGGCCACAGAAATGCTTGTTGCTAGCAGCTGCGAGGAAGGCCGAAGGCAGTGTTTCCTCAGAAGGATCCGAGAGGAAGGTGTGATTTAAAATGAGGAGGGAGGTTGGCTTTTGGTGGACAAGCTAGGAGGATGAAATCTCAGCCGGGCGGCCCAGCCAGAGGAGAAAGCAGAATCAACCCGTCGCTTTGGGAGTTAGGATGCTTCTCTGCCTTTCTCCAGGCCCCTCGGTGGCGGCAGGCAGTCCGGTGGGGAGCAGGAGGTGCGGTTCCTGGATGGGAGCAGGGGCAGCAGGGGTCGATGCATCCCTGGGCATGGGGACTGGGTGTGCATGAAGGCAAAGGAAGGGAAGCCCGCTGGGATGGAATAAGCCATCCTCTCATAGAGGATGCTCTTAGAAGTCAGGAAGACCGAGAAGGCCGCACCATGGCCCATGCTTGGCCACTGGGCAGCAGGGGCTTTGGGTTCCCAAGGCAGGACTCGTCTAACTCCAGGTCCTGGCTAAATGCAGACCCTGATTCACTGGGTCTGGGAGCAGCACTGGCATTTCTAACAAGTTCCCAGCTGCCGCTAATGCTGCCGGCCTCCCCCATCAAAGGTTACCCAGTACGAGTTGGCACTGGGTCAACTCTAGCTCACGGTGACGCCTCTGTGCCCCATAAGGTTTTCAACAGCTGGGTTTTCACAAGTAGATCACCAGGCCACTCTCCCCAGGTGCCTCTGGGTGGACTTGAACCTCCAGCCTTTTGGTTCACAGCTGAGCGTAGCCACTAGTTGCACCACTGTCCTAGAAGTGGCAAGATCCTTGAGAAGGTTATTCAAATGAAGGTGACTCAAATCCCAGTCCTTCACTTTGTCTCCGCCCCTTCTCCAAAATGCATCTCCCACGCCCCCTTCTGCATCCAGCGGGCAGCATCCACATGGGTGATGTCTGCTTCAAGAGCATGGTTTTAAGGAGCCTTGGCCCATTTAGAAGGCATACAAAAGCAGGATTCAAACATGTTTAGCTCAACATACACCTGGTCCCCAGAGATCATCTGTGTGTTATGGTTACTTGTGCAAATACGCTGTGCTAAAGCAAGCCTGACACAGGTCAGTGGCAATTAGAAGCACCATTCATCTTTGACCTATACTACTGATGCTAAGGGAAAGCCTTAAGACTCCATTTAAACTAATTGTGAGACTATGTTCGAATCACATTTAAGAATTCATAGCTCCAACGTGATTACACTAATCAGCATTCAGCCACTGAGAAAGATAATAGGATATATCATGTATAAGCTACTCAAGTATCCACTACTTATACTGCACTTACCGATGAAATGAGATTTTCTTTGTCCCTTGTTTTCCTCCAAGCGGTTTATGGATTTTTATTTGAGAATGGAGACTCTTAAGCAATCATGCGATCACTGTAGGGGAAAAAAATGACCAGAGGGTTGGCTTGTGTTTTATAAGGGCTGGAGTAATTATTCATGGAAAAATAATTCCTTTGTAAAGGAACGGTCATATGGGAATGGGAGAAAGGAATGCCCATTTGTGAATGCTCCACATGATCATATAACCTAGGAATTGATCTAGGGAAATTAATATGATGGTTCTTTCTATCAGCATGCATTTGATCAGCAAAGTGATTTTGCAGCTTTTGGGGGGTATGGACCTTGGATAAGACGCGTCCGTTTTACTTCAGTAAATCTTTGCAGGCAAGTTGGGACCATGCAGTGTGACTTCACAGCGCTCTACTGTGAGGATTGGGCTGGAAAAAAGGTGCCCAGTGAGGAAATCCACGATATTTATACTGGTCTATGATTTTTAGTATATGAATCAAATTCAAGTACAACATTAGCCAAGGAAAATGAAAGACTGTTGCTGACAGATGAGGCGGAAGCCTGTGGTTTAGAGACCCAGGGCATTGTAGTAGCAAATGACCATGACTCCAGTCATCATTCAATAAATCTTTATTAAGAGCCTGCTGTGTGCCAGGCACAGCACTGGGTTCTGGGGAGCCTGGGTCCTGGTCTGTCTGGCCTGCTGCTGTATCCCCTCCCAGGGCATTATATTTATGTGGGTTCATTTCTTTCTCTCAAAGCCAGGAGCACAGACTGGAGAGGCTCCTGCTGGACCCACAGGAAGTACCAGAAACCCAGATGTTATAAGAACGAGCAACCTCTCCGCCTAAGATAGAGTCTCAGAGGACACGACAAGGTGGCCTGAACATTTTCCACTGTAGAAAATGTGTCGGTTTTAGGGGACCGCTTTCGGGTCAGGAAAACCACCCGTCAGCTTGGGTCAGGAGGGAGTAGTGGGCAGTTCCTGGGTCCTTTTGGAATAGGTTCTCGTCTCTTCACGGCGGGGCCTGCCCATTGCTCACTGTCTTCCTCAGTCAAGGCTCGTAGTCAGTTGTTCCTCTTCCGGTTACCTGTGGGGAGTTAACCTGACCAAGTATCCCTTGGTACGAAGTGTTCTTGAGGATTTTGATGGTGGCCATGGTTCTTTGTGTTTCCTTGGGAAAAGAATGAAAATGAAAGGTCCCTGGGACCCACGGACTGGAGCATCATGTGCTACTGAAGATCAAGGTCAAGGCTTTGTGTTGGAGGTGACAGAGCCAGAGTCCACAGCTTGGCACAGACACCGTGCTGACTGACCCACCACGCTCCCAGGCTGCAGCGCAGCACGGGTGTCTGATGAAGAAGATGTCTGTCATGTACATCACTGTCTTTATATCTATCCATGTATCTAATCACAGTCTATAGAGTACAAATATTAATAAACGTTCCATGAAGATGTGATGATGATGTCTCAGAGTTCCTGAATGTCCACCTCTTTCTGTTGAGACTTTCCCGCTGCCCCGAGGTGTGGCTGCTTGTTTCCCACGTGAATCCCAGTGCCACATAGGGGACATTAAAGGCTGGGGGCAAAGCCAAGGTCGAAACGCCTGTCATTTGGTTTGAAAAGCTAAGGCAATATTGGGGATTTTTCTTGGAGTCCACTGGGGAAATATATTCCAGAAATTTGTCCTGAAGAGCCAGCTCTGATAACTAGCTCAGTTTATACCCTGTCTCCATACATCTTGTGCAGTGATGCTACTGGTATAGAGCTTGTGTTGAGGCAGAGACACGGTGGCTTAAAATCTTGTTCAGGAATGAGCTACAACTTTGAGTCAGTGGCAAGAGACTTTTGGAATTATCATACCAAGCAACGTCTCCTTAAATAAATGCCTGGCTCTCCGGCCGCTAATTCTTCAGAGGGAGGACACTGTTTCTTACGAAAGAATGAGAACTCACACCTGCTCATGCACGTTCACATATGGCCATGCACACATCCACACTTACACATCCACACCCCCCTTCACGAACTCAGGCACAACCCTCATGAGCATATGCACACACGCATCCAACCAGGGATTCGCACACACTGACAGGCACGTGTGTACACTGACATCTCTATTCCTCTAAGCGTGTACAGGTACCCACACATGTGCACTATAAAAAACAATGGGACAAAGTTCACTCACTTTGCTAATTACCACAATCAATCCCTCTTTCAGTTGCTGAAGCCATGGTTGTTTTGTTTAGCCTGATCTGCAGTAAGTAGTCCATTTTACATTAAAATCCAGTACACACGTGTAGACGTACACAACTGAAATAAAAATAGTTCACAAAATATGAGAGTCACTCTGGATTTTCTATGACTCAAAAATACTGGTCAAAGATCAATTCCATTCCCTAGGTTTCATGACACGAATGGGTCACCACTGCAGTTTGGGGAATGCTGGCCTAAAGCGATGGCTTTCCTTCCCGAAGACTGAGCGACCCAACGACATCCTATGCTATGGCTTCAGTGTTTTCAAAGCATGGCCTGTCCTTGAGCAAACACGCGGCCATCCCGCTGTCCAGGAACACTAGGCGTGAAGGTGTGGTGAGTGCTGTTGGCCCAGTCTGCTAGGCTTTGTGCAAAGGGAAGGGAAGCACGCAGGCTCACCGGTGCTCTCTGCTGCCTCCAGCGCTGCCCTGAGCTGAGACATTGGCCCCTTTGCCTCCTTTGGAAGGTTCTTCTTTGAGTCTTGATTCAGTCCCTCCCCCCATGGTCTTCATCTCATTCATTCCTCCTGCCCTGCCC